TCCGAATTAAACGTCTTTCGTCTATAAATTGTGATCTTTCCCGGAACTATAGTCTTTGATCGATTTCGCCGAAACTGAATTAGTAAATTCTTTTACATAATTTTGGCTTGGTATTTGTTTATTTTATTATTAGTTTATTATATTGTCACTTAGTATTAGTTACTTTTTGCTGCTATATAGAAAACAGGTTTTTCATTTTGTATTTTATTTTGAAAAATGTTGCATTGACGAAAACTTCCTTCATTCTTCCACGTAAATATAAAAAATATATCCCGTGAAGCTGCAAGAATAATAATGATGGTGGGATAGAATTTATTAGGCCTTTCACGTGCATAAAATGTAAGTTATGCCTCATGATGCTCTTCTCTCTATGATTAGCATAAATTCTCAGAAAAATTGTTTCTTTTTTTTTCGTTTTCAACTTTTGTGTCGAATGTTTCATCGATGACGCGAATTGAGAGTGACTTCATGTTCTCATTTTCGATATATGACGTTCTCTATCTCTCGCAGGTTAACTAACACGCCCTGTAAACAAGTTATATTATTTATAATTTGCTTAAATGATGATGGGCAAATCCTATAAGAGATGAAAAATGATGTCAGATCCTTAGACGCAGCTAAATACTGCAATTGAAGAAACTACTTCCGAATTTAACTGATGCCCGTTTCTCTGAATGTCAATTGACATATATTAAAACTATATCGTTTAAAAAATCATTTCTTCTTTAAAGTCTTACTATAAATGAATGAATGAATAAAATTATGTCTTTTTAACATCCTCTCATTTGTTTTATGATTTATTTTTATCTTTTAATATATACATGACTAATTCATGATTTTTTATGATATTGAAAATTATAGTTGGAATTTATAACAATCCTCTCGAATCCTTCTGCGAAATGATTATATCAAGTTTTTGAGAATTCGAAACAAAAAGCAATAATTATTATATGAACGACTATTAGGATATTAAAAGATGTATGAGCATTAATTAGACTCGAAACGTTTTTTTCAAATAATGGTATTGAAGCATAATTATAAAACCCGGAAGTATATAATATATATACACTAATCACCTTTAAAAATCGTCGCGATTCTTTCTTTTTAGTGATCGTTATAGATTTTTATGACATAATTGCGAGGTTATAAAAAATTCATAAGTAATTCTTGTGGTTGATTACAGATAATCGGTTACTGATTCTAAGTGGAATGTTAGGAATTATAATATCGAATAAAGTCATTTAAAATATTTATTCGAAATGATTTGTTTAAAATAATAGAGAGGGAAGAAGGATAATGGGTATAGTTTTGCAAAATAAAATCCGTGGGTGAAAAAGACCGTTTATGTCCATACTTATAGAAGGAGGAGGCGCAAAACAAAAGAGGCTAAAAAGTCTTGACAAAAATCAAAAAAACCAGGAAAGGAGCGCCACTCCACTCAGGGATTATGCGTAGGTTCATTCAAGTATCGTGTTTGCATTTTTTTTCTTCAACGATAATTCAGCACAATTTTGTGTCAGTGTATTATATTCTCTCTTTCAATGTGTTTGCCTCCCGCGTGGGAAGAGTTGGGGCGCGAACTAACAGCTTATATATCGTGAAAACAGTGCTCCTCAGGAGAGGAGCGATGACAGGAAAATTACTCTTTCATTTGCATTTTGTTGGAACATTAATCATTGGGAGGGGGAAAAAAATTCAAAATTTTTGCTTGGACAAATTAAAGTCATTTAGTGTATTCGTTATTAATTTTTTTTCCAATATGATTTTTTTTAAGAAACCCTCTTCTTGTTGGCACCTGTTCTTCGTTTTTTTTCAACTCAGACAATTTCAAAAAGATATGTATTTTATCGGTATTACAATATTATTATCTTTTGTTTTATGATGCATAAAAGTACCATTAATAGTCGGATGATAATGGAAAGATTTCCAAATTGAGAAAAGGTTAATTAAAAAGTTGTATGTCAGGCACTTTATGTCTTTCTCGTAAGAAGCATGTTTATGTCGTTCATAAAATTAAAAGGATATATAATTATCTTTGGAAAAATTATGAATTTTCTATATATATCAATTAGAAGCAGTTTCTTTGACAAATTTTGTGTAATTATTAAAATTTATAAGTGAAAATTAATTAATTTAAAGAAAAAGAATGAAAGGATTTTAAAATATTTCAAAGCAATTTGAAATATTTTGGAATGAGGAATTGTATGAAATGAATCTAAAAGTGGAAAATAGCTATTTTTATAATTGACATACCGGATCACTGATCAGTATAAATAGAGAAGGTCGTTGTTCTGTCACTGACCTTCGTTTATTACAAAAGAATTGCTACATTCGCTCTTATATGATTAGTGTGATGCAGTTCCAGAAAGTTATTAGTAATTAATTGAACGTGACCAGTATACAATGCTAGTTTATTATTTGTAAATGAATGCGCTTCATCGATTCTGCACTTCCCTGAAAATAATTCATTGCATTTCAAGATCATTTTATTGTTGAAATAATTTCAGTGCTGATGAACATTTTCTATTGTTATCATTTCTGAAAAAAAAAATTAAAATCAAATTATTTAGTTACCACTTTATATATAAATTTTCTTAATATATATACAAAACTGAGTATATATAGCCATGAAATATTTTGTGTTGGTAAAAGTAATAAAATATTGGCGAAACTTTCCTCTCACGAGATGTGATTCCTCGTTCTCTGTCCACACACTGGCATACGCAATTTATTCTCGTTTATATTTTTCTGACCTCAACGGACAAGACATCGTCATTATACATTCGCCATTCATTGTTGATTCGCGATGAATTTTTTAATTTTTGAGTTTATAACATTTGTCTAAATATGGTGCGTTCTCACCCTTTTCTTTTTTCTCAGAATATATGTCCAGTTGAGCTCTAACGTCAATTAGGCATTGTGAAAGCGTATATATATATATACTTCCTATATAGTACGCGCAAACTTATAAAGTGCGCTTATGAACACGTTTGCACATTGTTAACGAAACGCAAATATGTGTCCCACTTTAAAGGTTTCTTATCGAATCTGAATCTGCATTGTTTTTCGCATTTTTTTCGCGCAAGAGCTTTGAATGTCAGAAAAGGAATAAGAATTAACAAGGAACCTTTATGAATAACAAATGTAGCCTTTCGTGTTTTATTATTCATATGTTTAGCATGTATTTTTTGTCGTGAAATCATGTCGAAAGGCATTGTACTCCATTAGTTAGGAAAATTCTACAGGTTTTTATTCTATACTTTTTGAAGTGGATTTTTTTTGAAAAAATAGATTTTTCTAAAAAAATTTGAATTATGAAGCAAACATTTTTCTGAATTATATGTCAGATATTTTATTTGTAAAATAACTGATGTTACAAACCTTTAGGTATTATTGATTTTAGAATGCAAAATAATATGCAGATTTTAACTCTTTCTTATAAAAAAAAAGTGTAAATATATTTGCTAGGCGATTTTAAATATATATCTGCAATCTCAAATATATTTGTTACGTTTATAAGTATTTCATATATACATATATATTAATCGCCCTGGGAACAGCAGTAGAGTTTCGAAAATAAATCTGTTTGAAGTGAACAAATTCGTATATACAATCCACACGAGGTGTGTAATATTATCCTCAGCTAACAATAGAGATAAATGAATTATTATATTTTTCGATGGAAATATGGCATTTGATTAAATTTCCGCCTTCTGCTCAAATATGTAATTTGATAAAGTTTAACAATAACTCCAGTGATTTTATGTGCATTCTTTAATAAATAACCGGTTATAATTTGTGTATATAACAAATATTCATATATGTATAAAGTAAATAATATTTTTTATAAAAAGGACTTTGAGTATTTGGTATTCCCGAAGGATCTCGTAAATTTTTCACAAAAATTATTCGACTCTAGCTCAAAACTTGTTGGTTCTGTCAAAAAAATCCGCGATACAAACACCTAATTTCTCTTGCAAACAATTTGTGTGTAAAATAGGGTCATTATTTTGTGAATGGCATATAATTTTGAAGGTCCTTATCTTCGATTGGACCTTCGGGCTCGGTATTTAATATTTAAGGCGACACACATGTGGTGAGGAATCACAGGCCGTTAAGTTTGCATTTTTACAACCATATTCTTAATTATAAGAGACGCAGGACGTGTGTGCATATACGCGTGTTCATATCTTTAAAAATTATAAATATATTTGATTGCTTAATGAACCTGTCAATGTGGAACAGGATATATTTTATTTCATATTAACGATTTATATTTTTTTGAAAACTAATATGTTAATTTCAATTATTCGTGTTTTAAATTAATGATACTTTGAATTTATATTTTTATTATATACATATATATACATAATTAGATACTCACAAGTCATAAATCATTATCGTGATTTATTAGAAGATTCTTAGTAATGTTCTAGACTGATGTTGTTAATTCAGTTCCATTTGTCATCTATTGATGGATTATTTATTTTGTCTTTTTGTAATCTGTATCTCTCAGCATGCTTCTCATTTATTGAAATTGTTTTCAGTGAAGACATATAGCGGGATTGAATGTTTAGAATAAATTAAAATTTTTCATTTTAAAAATATTAAAAAAAATTTAAAGATATTTTTTAATTTTTTGTATCATATTTTTGGATTTTTATGTTGAAATTTCGCTTTTTAATAGTATAGGATTTGACATATAAATACAATATTTATTGTTAATTGATTTGTTTTGACGTTTGTGATTTAGGAAAAATGACCTCATCAATGCTTTTCGATTTGTCATTGATAAAAATACATTTTAGCCAGCCATCTGTTATATGTATTGAAAGAATTACGATTTTAGATTCTCAATTTTCAAACTACATATTTTAGTATACGCATTTAAAATTAGAAATGTGCTTTTTTTTACTTTATTAGAATTAAAAATAATGAATTTATTCAAAATTTGACGGAACGTTTCTAAGGTTTAACATTCTTTTATCTTTTCTTTTCAGGTGGAATCTGTTAATCTTGCATTGAATATTCTCGATGGCTGGAAAATCAGAGGAAAGACTTTATCAGTCCAAAGGGCGAAATTCCAATTGAAAGGCGAATACGATCCTTCAAAGAAACCCAAAAAGAAGAAAAAGGACAAAGAACGACAGAAGAAGTTCCAGGAAAAGTGAGTTGGGATTTGATTTTTTTTTTATCTATTTTATAGTTGGCAATCCAAAACAAATTTAATTTTTAATCGCATGAAATGTAATTTCTGAATTTTTAAAATATTTGATATTATAATACCCATTTTGCTTTCACCAAAAGTATCAAATTAATATAAAATTTTAAATTGTTCTTAATCCGAGAAGAAAATTGCAATTTGTTTAACTTTTGCAAATCATGACATAAATCTTTTTTTTTTAAAGCGCAATGGCAACGAAAATAATCCTCATTGAAATTTGGGTGGTCTCCTTGAAGAATAATAATTGTCATATAATGGAACAATTCATTTCTTTTGCAAATGCCCGTGAGCAAAGTAGTATTTGAATCAGATAAAGGTGCGTGTATTATTGAAAAAAATCAAATGAGAGAATATTTCGGTTAATATTATTAATATAATAATATTCATGAGATTGATTGGATGAAAATGTTGGGTGTCTTTAAACTTGTTTTCGTTTATATGTATATATATTTTAACCAGACTGCTTGGCGTTGGCAGTTCTGGTAAAAGTAGCCTGTATCACATATACATATATTACTCAGCATCTTATATATTCTCTGAACGCACATCTGTCTGAATGCAATTTCTTTCACTGCACTGAATCGTTGATCTTGATACTCTCGTATGCACGAGCAGAAACAGAACGGTCATCTTCCTGAATTTAAGAGATTTCCCTGATGGGGTTATTTACGCATTATATTTCATTCATGAGACTCACGTCCTTTTAACCCTTTTTCATCTAATTAATATTATTATTTCAAACATGTGTCACGAATATTTAGAGTTTCATAGCTAAGAGCCTACACTCTTATAGCGAGATTTTAGCGTCTGTCCGTAGTACTAAGAGGCTGGCTACACCGAGAGTCAATCAGGAGGGTTAAATTTAATCCTCTCCGGCGTACTAAACAAGTGGGTTAAATTTTGCGTCTGCGCAGAATGTTTGTGTACATCTGCGACCATGGTTGCGATAGTGACAGGTTAGAAAAGTTCGCTGGCTTTGGCGACCACGTGATCGCCTTTTCTAACCTAACTTTTCTAACCTGTCGCTATCGCAACCATGGTCGCAGATGTACACAAACATTCTGCGCAGACGCAAAATTTAGCCCACTTGTTTAGTACGCCAAAGGATTAAATTTAACCCTCCTGATTGGCTCTCGGTGTAGCCATACGTCTTAAGTAGACAACTTCACTGAACTTCATTCGTACTTCATTCGTACTTCACCGAACTTCATAGTTTATTAATATTAGATTAAAAAGTATTATTAATTTTTCAAATAAAAATCTTGCAAATTTTGAATTCTAGTTGAACTATAGAAATGTTTATAATATTTAAATTTTCAACTAATAAAAAATTGTAGTAAATAATATTAGTATTACGTAAATAGAACGAGGTTCTTATGAATATATAATATGTTGAGGAAAAAATAAGAACAATACAATGTTCTTCATAAAATGGAAATTTAGTGAAGTATCGGTAATTAGGGAAAACTTGTATTTTTATGTAGATGTCTTTTTAGAGTGACATATATATTTGAAAGCCTGTCACTTGTTCATATATAAATGACACATTACTCATTTATTGCGACGTGTTATTTTATATTTCTTTAGTGAAATATTTACACAACAAGTGTCATCTTGTATTTAATTTATTATATCCCCATATTTATTATGGGAATATATGTAAATTTTGTCGTATTATGCAATAAAAATCTCTTTGAGTGAATTACATATGGTTATAAGGCAAAATTACAGGGTGCAATAGACGTTAATCGCTTCCGCATTAAAGCGTGTCTTAATCAACGTCCGATCTAATTCTAAAGCAGGTCTATCAGTTTTATAAGTGTAAATAATAATAAGTGATATCTTTAAAAAAAATATCTGCGAAAAACGTAAACAAGTTTATTTACATTTTTAGTGAAATTATTATTTTTTTTTTATAAGAAATTAAAGTTTCATTAAAATTTATAAACATTAAATGGTAAAACATTTAAGTGATTAAAGATAATAAAAAGAAATTTATTATTATATTATTTAGTTTGAAAATTTTAATCTTGTAAAATATATAAAGTTATAAGTATATACTTTGCCTAAGGAAAAGCCTTGGTTTGATGTTAAATGTAAATACACTTCCGGTATATAAAAGAGTTTGACCTCCCAAATGACTGGTTTTCGCCATGTCCGGGCATCGAACTTGATTTTCTGGCCCTTCGGCAGCTAACGAGCCTTTCAGAGAAGAAAGAGAATCGAAATAGAATCATTTTGCCCAAAGGATTAATGAATACTTTATTTTCTAAATGGACAACATACTTCAAATTAATAATAAAAAAAAATCGTCAAATATCACTAAAACTTTTATGAGAAATGCTAAATGTTTATAATTAAATAATGAGTTTTATATTTTTTTCAACAATAAAAAAAATAAAGTTAAAATTGAATATTTTAAAGTAAGAGATATAGACTATTTTATATTAATTTTAAAGTTCTCGAGAATTGAGAAGGTAGAATTCAAGTGACACGTATACTTGTGCAAAATGAAAAGTAAATATTCCTTGCAAGGAGTTACTGATACCGTTACAAAAAGAATAATAAAACGATTCTTGAATCTATGAGAAACCATTGGAAATAGCTTGAGGCGTGAATAGCTCTGGATAATTTGTCGGGGATCGTTATTGATTATAGGTTACGAGTCGAAGATCGCTCTATAACATCAGAGAGCAATCTCTGTATATATATATATATGTTAATATATAATATGTACTTGTTTCATCAAAAAGACTCGTAATCAAATTCTCAATGCATTTAACTAAAATATCAATTTGTTATTTCAATGTTTTTTTTCTTCATGCCAAAAGAATAATTGATTATTCTTTTAGCGGAAAATAAATATTTCATAATTATTCCACGTCTTTAGGAACAGCTGCTCGTTTATATCTTATTTTATTAGATTTTTTTTTTATTCTAAAAGGTTTACAAAGTATGACTATAAAATTGCATCTTTATTGTGTATGAGTTTAACTTTTCTTATTATTATTATCATTTATTAATCATAAATTTTATGAAATGAGTGAAATTTTTAATTAAAGTGTAGTAAAGATAATAAGTTGTTTGAATTGAATAATTTAAGAGCGGCGTTAAATTTATTTTTTCACTATTTTTATTGATTTATTTATAATAATAATAATAATAATATAATTTATACTTTTTTTTACAGATTGTTTGATTGGCGACCAGATCAACTTCCTGGACAACCACAAAAATGTGAACGCGTTGTAATTATTAAAAATCTCTTCAAGCCGGAAGATTTTGACCATGAAGTATCACTTCTTTTGGAATATCAACAGGATATTAGATCAGAGTGTCAAAAATGTGGGAATGTCACCAAAGTTGTGGTTTATGACGTGAGTAATCGTGATATTTTTTATATACTTTTTTTTACATTTTTTTTAACATTAATTAGATATAGAAGCAAATGGAAATTCCATTTCTGTTCAATTATAGACTGTTTTTATAGCTAATTTATTATTTAATTAAAAATTGCGATTAGAATATTTTTCCCTTCTCTGCTCAATAATTTGAGCCGTACTTTAGATAAGGTTGCCTTGAATATTTATATATTAATGATGCGAAAAAATAATAGAAACGAAATAAGGTAGACAATAATTGCAATTCAATGTTAATTATTATCGACGGTTGTTATAATAGTTTATCGTTATTATCGACGGTCGGTGCAATTGATAATAGTTTTTACCGACGATAAATACAGTGGTTGTTCGTTGTTACCGACTGTCGGTACAAGTGGTTTTTATCAACAAAAATTGTTATCGATGATCGGCAATAGTGTTATTAACTATAATAACTGTTATTAATGGTAAATATTATTGATTATAATCGTTTTTAATGATACTTGTGAACAATAATAGTTACAGTCATTGGAAGTTTTGACAGTTCTCACCATGTGCTTCACGCGCACTAATGTTTAAATAGTATAATTTCTTTCTCAGAAGAAATTGAAATTGTCTGACTCAGGGCGCAAAAGTTTACTTATTATTATGCAAACAAATTCGCAAACGCTTCATCGTCAAAGTGCGACTTGGCTAAATTACTTTATATGCCCACGCATTGCAAAACTGGCGCCACAAATGTACATTCGGCGAGCTTCTGTCGACGGTGTGTATATATTTGTTCATTTACTCATATATATATTTTAGACCTATGTGTTGTAAACTGCAATATCATATCATAAAATTTACATATCGCTATTTGCTATTTTCGTAACGATGTCATCATCTTAAGTGACTCGTGCCCCAGTTTTTATAAAATAAAGGTTTTTTTTTCGAATTTTTTGTCTTTTTCCAAGCCCGATGTGTCATGTTTGATAAAGGTTCTAAGTAAATTTTTAATGATTCCAAAAAAGAATTGAAATTTATATATCCTTGTATTGATTTACTGGTAAACCAATAACTGTCCGTAGGGATTGTTCCATTTATATATATATATATGATGTTGGAGATTCATTAAAAATTTAATAGGCAGTAGTCTATTTTGATTTATAATTTTTAGATTGGAGTTTTGGAATTTGAATCCCGGAAGTTTTTACAGGTTTTAAAATCTAGTGGATCAGTGGAACGGGATGAGTTTTAAAACTTGCGGTCATATTAAATTAGAATATTGTATTATTCAGAACTCGTCGTCGAATTCTTCATTTGACTTTTTCTCTTATTCATCTTTAGAATATCGCTGATGTAATATTTTTCTCAGATAACGATCAAAGATATACCATAAATCCTAATTTTTAAGAAGTGATTTCTTTTTTTTTTAAATTATTTGCAAAATAATTGTCCATTTTATTTATTTTAAGTATGTATAGGACTAAAAAAATATCTTAAAAATTTTCACAATTTTTTTTTAGCATTTCTATATATAGTATATTCGAGACTTTAATTTTATTAGCTTGTTGTGGGTAAGCGCAAGTGCTTTTGGTTTTATAAAAAAAACTCTTTTCTAACATTCAAAAACCACATTATGAGTCTTCTTGGTTCAAGAAACTTTTTTATAAACTTAAAAATTTTTTTTTTTAAATTTGTTTCTCACGGTTCTTGAGAGAAATATTTTGTCTGCACAATTATTTTAAATAACAATTTTTTCCAACGAATTAAAAAAATTATTTGTTTTAATTCTGCGAAAAAAGAGCTTTTTGCAAATTGTTGATAGATATATGTTTGATATAGGGAATTTGATAGCTTCCTTATGGTACTTTGAAAGATTTGTTTATTTTTCTGGGTCACTGTGTATAAGTTTGGCATGAACCAAAACCGTGAAGACGATGGAATTTCTTTTGACATTGAATGAATTCACGGTTGAAGCACTCCAAAATAAGGAGTGTCTTGCTGCAGATTTATAGTGTCAGGTCATACCCTTTAGTAATTTATTTGCATTTCGTGGGCCGGTACCTTTTTGCAAACAAATTCGACTAATAAGCCTCATTTAAAACAATATACATATATATTTGCAACATTCTTAATCATGTTTCTCAGTATATGAAATCATTGTTTTCAAAATAGTTGAAGTTTTTAGAAATTAAAAAAAATATTTATTTTTATTTATTATAATTGTTTTAAGGCCATGTGGATTATTCTCTTCAAAATAAGAAATTTCGCGCAAAAAATGTTTTTAAAAAAACTGAAAAATAGGTTGTCATAAATTATTATATTTATATTAAGTTGGTAATTAAATTGTATTTAAAAAAAAAACGAAAAAAAGGCTCACCTGCGTATATACGCTCGTGTTTGGATGGAAACATGGTGGGGTGGATTCACATCTGTAAAAAAAAATATTAATTTTGTTAAGAGAAATTTTGAAAGTTGCGAACCACTTTTTCCTGTAGTAGGCCACGTGGTTTTCTTCCACATGATCTTAAATTTAATAATTATTTATTATAATTATAAGTAATTATTAATTTTATATAATTAATTAATTTATTTATTTAATTATAAAAATATGTTGTATTATAATTGAACATGGTTACAAATAAAAATTTCTATTTAATAGAATAGTGATAAAAATTGAAGCAATTGTTTAAAGAATTAAGTATTTAATAAAATTTATTTGATATTTGAATAGTAAGATTATTCTGTGATTGCAGAGACATCCTGAGGGTGTTGCACAAGTCACATTTAAGGATCCCGAAGAGGCTCAGGGATGCGTGCAGTTACTAAACGGCCGTTGGTTCGGTCAAAGGAAGATAACTGCAGAAATTTGGGACGGGAAAACAAAATACAAGTTAGTTTCCTTCCTTACCAATACATGATTCAATGAATTCTTATTGAACTTTTAATTCGTTGATAGAGTAAAAGAAAAAAATTTTATCATAAATATTTAATTATTTTTTTATTTATTTAAGAAAATCTGATATAAATATCAAATTAAAGATTTCAGAAATTAGAATAATTTCCATCTATCGGTAAAGTAGAAATTTTTTGCTAATAGGCAACAAACTTCTAAAGAAATTTGTTTTATCTACATTCTTGAATGCGAAAGATAATAAAATATAAAGAATGAATTTTTAAATTAAAAAAAAATTAATGTATTTTATAATATAAAATGTCACAAAATTTAATTCTTTATATCAATTTAATACATGGACTAATATTATTTAATTTTTTTTTTATTTCAGAGTTGTTGAAACCGAGGCCGAGATTGAAGCGAGAATAGAAAAATGGGATAAATATTTAGATGAGCAGGATGAAAAAAAGGAAGAGAAAACTAAAGATTCGCAAAAAATGGCGCAATCTGATGTAAACGAAGAGAATAATGAAACATCAACGAATAATGAATCTAAGGAAAAAAATCTATAGTCATAGGTTTTAGAATAGAATAACATATCGATTATGAGTAAGTAAACTTTACTTTTTTGAAATTATTTAATTTTCGATTTAAATAGACTCAAACAACGATAAAATAATGTTAAAAATTATCATTTTGACTCTTGACGAACAATTTTATTTTAAAAATTGTAAATGAGTCAATGATTTCATGTAAAATATATAGTAAATACTTTGATTATAGTTAATACTATTATTTCATACAATCGAAAGATTATTAAATTTTGATTATACGTCGATTTAATCTTTAAAAGAAAAAAAGATTAGAAAATTGATTGTTGTAGAAAAAGAAGGGAGTTGTAAATAATAGAGTTTAATTAGAATGTAGAGTATGCATGTGGTAATAATAAGTCTGAAATGATTTTATTGCTCTTCTCTCTATAATCTTAAAATTAATCTTAATTTTTCTTCATTTACAAAACACTTTTTTTTATTATTATTTTTTCATAACATTTTTATAATTATTTTTCTATTTTTTCTTATAATAATAGACATTTTCTTTTATTTTGAATGAATGGAAATCAATCTTTCTTGAAGTGAAAAAATTTTTTGTATTGAGTTTATTTAAGTCATATATTATTTAATATTTTTTTTTTTTGGAAACAAAATTTTTTACTGTATCATTTTATGTGTAAAAAGTTAATGAAAGAAAATATTTACTTAGTTTGATGAAAATATTTTACAATTTATATATAGGAAATATGTTCTAAAATTGTAAAATACTTTTATGAAATTAAATAATTATTTTAATTTTCAATGCAAGAGGGAAACAAAAACCAGTTTTTATTTTTAAATTACTTTATTCTGATTGGGCAATGAGTGTTGTTCGTATATTTCTATGAGCATATGAAAGGACATACGATTTTACATCTAAGTTAGAAATATTGTACACGGCAAGTTGTGTCTGATACTCTAAGCCTTTTAGATGAATATTAATTAAAATTACGAAACAATATGTTTATCTTCGAATTGACGACGTTAGGTTCTGTAAAAGTTTTACAAATATAAAGCCATGCTTTACAATAAGTATTTCAACTTTTAGAAATTCCAAACTACAGCCTCCTTAGATCCATCAGATAATTTTTCCTTTTTGCATTTATTTTGGTTCCAAAATCTATTTTTGTTGATAGTCCACTCATTTTACCTTTTTAATGTTAAATTGAAAATTTTGATTATAATACAGAAATTGACTTTCTGTATAGTTTACAGATGAAAACGAGTGACAATACAAAGGTTTGTAGAGCAAAAGAAGGTAAAAAAAAAGTAAAAATAGGATGGAAAAGATCTTAAAGAATTTCCTAATTTGCTATTTCAACATTCCTTGCGGTTCGCGACCGTTACGCTGTTCGTGGGACTCCTTCGTGAGAGACTGATGCCGGTCTGTCAAAAAAGTGCTTCTTCTCGCAACGCGAAATGGACCTCTTTCTCTCTCTCTCTCTCTCTTGACTCCCTTGAATCAATCAATTTTCGTTTTAGAAACTTCTTTTGAGAAATCTGTCAGACTTTAATTTCATATTATTCCTTTGTATTCCTTCTTAAGCCGCACAATTTTTCCTTTATTCAATTTTCTTCTATTTTATTATTTTTATCCTAGCGATAAAAATTTCCATCAATATTTTTTATTTCCATTCTTATTATAGTTGGGAACAAGTTTAGTGTATAGGTATATATATAATAAAAATGAATTGCAAAAAATATTTCAATAAACTGTTTAAAAAATTCGATGCGCACTTATGTATTATAGATATAATAACAGAGAGAAGATCGTGTTAGAAACGATGATATGAGAAACACTTGACCGTATCAAATTGTCATCTAATGTCACCAGTGCTTAATCTCATGTGTAATCTAGCAGGTCCTCAAATAGTGGTGTCAGAGCTAAATCCAATAAATCCCCTTTGGTAGAGCGTGACGTTCATAGACTAGAATTCTTCTTTTTTTCACTCCCCTTGCGATGTTTAGTACTCGTAACCTCGACTTGATGTGAGACCTCACGCAGATAAAAAAAAAAAGATCACATATATAGCGAAGAGGAGGGTAGTCATCGTGCACGTGGCCACTTGACAATAGATCGTATACACCCCGCTGCTAATAGTTGGGCATTAAATTTGTCAGTGATATTGCCAATGGGGTGAGAGCTTTGGATAAATGGAAGAGACGATCTCTGAAATATGCTGCGGAAAACAACCCTCATTTCAAAGATTCGCCAAGGGGTTGCGCGCGAATGAACTTCTATATATATAGAGCGAGGGACTATAAAAGGAAAATCATTGTCATTATTGTTTATCAATATTTGCCCCAATATTTGTGACTTCTAAAGATGATAATTGAGATATTTTATGCTAATAATATATGTTTAACAATAACAGAGGCCGATAAAATTTTGTCCTATAACTTCAAAACCAAATATCAGAATATAATTAAAAAATTTTCTTCAGATTTTCCTATGGATTTTGGAAGTATTATGCTTTTAGATTAAGCTGAAAAATCGTTGAATCAAAATCTTCCATCGTGAGCTTTTTGAGAAATCACTTAATTTGATATGTTAAATTACAAATATATGCCAACTATACACACTAAAAAATAATACTTACTTTCAGTTCAATTTTGACTAAAACCATTAACATTAGAACTATTTTTACTGAATTTCAGCCTTAAGTGTATATGATTTTAATAAGTCCTAAAATTGACTTAATCTAGTTTTAATATTAAAATTACGCTAGTTTTCAGGCATTTTGCTTTTAAGATGTTAACGGTTTCAGTATTTGTTTTTTGTGTGTATCTTTAATTCATGATTAAAATCGATGCAAACTATATATGTTCTAGAAAAAAAATTCAAAATCGCACTTCACAGGAAAGACAAAGTTATTTTAACCCAGAATTTAGTGATCAAATAATCTGCAACAAATTCTACCCTAGTTGAGTGTTAAATCATATGGGTTTTAGCATTGGACAAAATTACCTGCAACAAAAATAACACCACCTTTTTTCTATGTGTTATATCTCAAAAAGCTATCAATGGAATAAAATTTTGATAATACGATTTTCTTAATCTAAAATCATATTATTTCCAAAATACACAGGAAAATTTGAAGTGTCCTGAGTTTCGGTTTATTTTTTTTCAGCCGCGCCGTGCAATCTTAACAAATCTGTTTCTTCTATATTACAGCTAACATCTATACTTCCAAAAAGTTCGGAAAATAGTTCATTATACACAAGATTTTCTAGCTGAAGCGATTTTTCTCGAAGAAGAAAAATTTCTTAGGAAAGAGCCAAGTTTGGGAGTAGTGAAAATGAAGCTCCACGAAACATGGTGAAACTGTTAATTAAGACTCATTATATGTTCGGTCGAGAAGATAGGGAACACTCACTTTTCCAAGAGAGAGAGAGAGAGAGAGAAAGAGAGATTTTCTCTTGGAAGTTTTGGCATACAGATAAGAGGGCCGGATGAGTTTTGGTGAGTGGGTGTTTGAAAGGTGGGTTGGTAAGAGAGAGAGAAAGAAACTTCTTAATACCAAAAGTGCGGGAGCATAGAGCAACGACGATGTTCTCGGGTTCATTGTGGGATCAATACAAGAGAGACTCGGGTGGCGTAGGAGTGGCAGCATCATCTCATTGGATGCGAAGTCTCTGCGAGCCGATTGGTTGACAATGGCACAACCAGGAGGCGTTCCCATGTGAGCCCCTCGGGGTAAATACGACTACCGAACCCAACCTTCATCAGGATACCAGTCGACCGAGCTAAAAAGACAGGAGAGAGAGAAAGAGTGAGAGCGCGACTCACGCTAGAAAAAGAGAGAGATATACCCTCACCAACCGAAGATAGGGTGACAGCAACTTGGGGTTCAGTCTGTGTTTGCCTACCAGAGACACATCATCGCAGGATTAAGATATTGTTTTCCGGTGTGCCAAAAACAAAAAAGAATCGTGTCATCAAAGTAGGATTACGTTCTGCCAAAACATTCACTCCATATACCTTGTGAGACAATCGATTAGAATTTGTGTTATCTGGATCATAATATTGATTATCAATCAAAATTTAAGTCAAGGAATTGAAAAAAAAACTATTAAGGAAATATATCAAAGAAACAATAGTGATACCAGACACGTTTTACACGCTGAGCGTGTAAACAAATCCATGTGTTTGAAAGTGTTTATGTTGTGATATTGTCGAATGAGTTGATTATGCGGGATATAATGCATTGAGATTATTGCGCTTTATATAAAGAAGAAATTTAAAAAAAAAGTGATTCGAGCTGATTGTGTGATTTTAAGAAGAGAGAAAGAAAAGTAGGAAAAAAAAGATATAAAATAATTTGCAAAGATAACGAGTGTGGAAGAAATAAACGGTGGTTTCGTGGGTGGTGCAACGTTCGGATATACAAGTCGGCAGGCCGGCTCTGGGGTGCCGGGCCCGGGGGGGGTGATGAGCTGTTCCGAGGTTATGTATCAATATTATCCTTACCTCTATCAGAGGCCACCGCCGCCCCCGACCCACCCCCATGCGGCCCCACATCCACATTCTCATGGGAATCCTCATGCTGCCCATCATAGTCCTGCTAGGCCCGCACCCTTTCAACCCTTCTCGTCTGCATCAGCTACTCATCAGTATGACAGGGTAAGACTTTTGTAATATACATTTTATATATACTCTTAGAATAAAGGTTTTGTTATTTTTTATTACTTGAATTGCAATTTGTTTAAAAGAGAAGCTACAACAATTAATTAGTAGTTTTCTACTATCATTCAGTAGTATTCTACTATTAATTAGTCAAAAACGGTAATTAATTAATTTAGTAAGCTATTAACTGATAGTAGAAACCTACTAATTGATAGTAGAAACCTACTAACTGATAGTAGAAACCTACTAATTGATAGTAGAAACCTACTAATTGATAGTATAAACCTACTAACTGATAGTAGAAACCTACTAATTGATAGTAGAAACCTACTTATTGATAGTATAAACCTACTAACTGATAGTATAAACCTACTAACTGATAATAGAAAACTACTAATTCATTTATTAAAATTTACTAATTGAAATAGTAGCTTTATTAAAAAAAATTAATAACCATTGCAGTTATTACAGTTTTATAATATCAGTAGTAGGTTTCTACTATCAATTAGTAGTTTTCTACTATCAGTTAGTAGGTTTATACTATCAGTTAGTAGGTTTATACTATCAGTTAGTAGGTTTTAACTATATCAATTAATTTTCTACTATATATCAGTTAGTATAGTTTTCTACTATCAGTTAGTATTTTTCTATTATCAGTTAGTAGATTTCTACTATCAATTAGTAGTTTTCTTATACTAATATCATTATAGTTTTACTTGTAATTAGATTCCTTTGTTTTTTTAAACATAAAATAAAAACTGAGCTTGATTAATTTAAAAAAAAATACAGATTGATTTGTCAATTTTCAAAAATCATTTATGGTATTTGATGCAGGAGATATATTTTCCATTTGAAATTTTGAAACGATCCTGACGAAGCAAATCAGATTAACGCCTCAATATCGTAGAATAATCAATCACAATCTCCTTTTCCTGGCAGGTACAAACGTATAGATTATGACATTATGTAATCGTTCCTTTTTTTCTTATATTCATAAATCATTTGACAGTCATTGTCCGTTTGATTTTAAAGGTGATCGGAATTTTTTAAGGCCTTTGATACTTCTGTATTTTTATATATATGTTTAAAGTCAAGGGCATTTAATATGTTATCGAAACCTGAATTTTCGCCAGCAAATATTTTTGTTTCTATGATTTTTTTCTCTGTTTAATTTTTTTTTTTTAATATATATATATAGTATACGTAAATATTTTTTTGCAAATATATGCAAATTATTATTATTATTACTGGGATATTTTAAATTGACGCTTGTGTTTCATGTATCAATTAAGTGTAGGTGATGAAGCGCAACCTTGATGTTTTATGAGTCAATTTGAAAAGAATTCGATAATTTTAATAACATGGTATTTTGATGATGGAATATAATTTTAATGATGTCCATTCCTTGTCTATGTTTGATTTGTAAAAGATCATGTTTTCAGTGGCTTTTAAAGTCGCAATGGTTAAACAGAAGCGTTTAAAGATCCGGCGGTGTCGGGTTCTCTCACGAAAGAATTCGAAACATTCTCTCTTTTTACTAATAAATTGTCTTGAATTTCTAAAACCTGAATAAGAATCCTCGTGGGGGGAAACCATGTGAAAACGAATTAAAAAAAAACACTGACGTCACTTTAACAATTCTCTAAAATTTATAAAATATACAGTTTTTCTAGATTTTAACATTTTTTCTTGATAAATATATATTTGTATACGCATAGTAGGATTGACCTTACAAGATAAATGTTTTTATTTTATTAAAATATTTTTTTTAGCTACACTCAGAAAAGTTTTGTTTGAACCAAATATACCATTTTTTTGTATTAATATACAATTTTTTTGATTGTTGTTTCATATACCCAGAAAAATGATATATATTTTGTCTTAGAGACAAATAAATTTTATTTCCGCTAAATAAAATTTGATTTGTGGTAAATTAATTTTTTTATTTAAAACAAATAAAAAGTTATTAGGCTCTGAGACAAATATAGTTTTATTTGATTTAAATAAATTTTATTCATCTCAAATAAAAGATTTCTCTGGGTGTAAAGAATTTTTTTTCATATTTTATGTTCAAAAAGAATTTTTCCACAAGGAGTCTATAGTGTAAAAAAAGTATTTATAAAAAAGACTTTTGAAAAATAAATTTAAAAAAAAACTTGAGGACATATTTTTATAAATTGTCTATTATCGGTAGATTGTGTTTTTTCTCCTAAAAAGAAACACACTCTTCTTTTCTAAAAATAATCTAATAGAGCTTTTAAGAAAAAAAAAAAATCTAATCAGATCATGGCAGCTGAAGAAAAAGACTTAAAATTCTATACATTCTTCATCTTTTATCTTTGCGCGACAAGGAAAAATGTCCCACAAGGGACTTTAAAATATTTTCATCTCTCATCCCTCTCTAGATTATTCTCGTTATCATTTGAAAACGTTAAAGACTAATAATTATAGGTGTATTATTTCAAATTAATGAGGTTCTTTGGGACAAATATATGTTTAAGACTTGGAAGTTGTTTACAAACATTCTCGCGTAAGAAAGTGCTGAGAAACATTTCAGTTACGACGTGGCAAATACCTCGCCTACAGTTGTCATCTTGAAATAGTTTGTATGGGTTTTAGGAAGTTTGTAGGGTTTGTGAGAAAGAGAGAGAGAGAGAGAGAAAAAGACAGAGAGAATCGGGCTGTGTGTCATTTTAATATGTCTGCTAGGAGGTCAGGCGTGCCCCTGGCGTTCGTATATATGCACCCATCCATGCTCTCACCAGGGTGTTGAGTGCAGTTTTGTACTCACCGGTATCTTCCCGGTTTTTAGTCTTTTCTTCAATCTTTTATTTGCTTTTATGTCCTTTTATTTCCTTTTTTATTTCTTTTTATCTCCTTTCATTTCCTTTTATTTTAATTTCAATTTTTTTTATTCAATTTTTTTTTCTCCCTTTTTTTTATTTTCTTGTACCTTTTTTCTTCGTTCTCTCACTTCACGGTCATTCTTCCTCCAACATATAGCGCGAGCACGCCTCTCGAATTTATTCGCCCTTCCATCGGTTGGACACTTGCCTCCTCAGCCAGAATTAAAAGCCCTTGTGCAGTTGATTTAAGTCCAAGGAGTCGAAAGACTCGAGCTCCTGCCACTGCAAACTTTACTGGTATTAATTTCAAATTAAGAGAGAGAGAGAGAAGAGAAACTTGCCGTTGCCAAGGCAACTCGAGAATAGCGGAAAACGCGTAAAAGGTTTGCCGCAAAAAAATATCGATGAAAAATTTTCCTTTTTTTCCAAATATAGAGAGAAAGAAAAAGAAGGAACGAGAAAAAGATACTTGAAAATAAAAGTGTTAGTATCTTGAGAATTTATGATTATGAACTTTTGTATATATATATATATATATGGCTTAAAAAAACGAAGGAATTAAATTACAGGTGAAATATATGATGAGATAAAATTAAAAACTTTAAAAAATTCTTATAGAATTTTTTGTTTTTAATATATGCATATAATTATATTGTTGGTTTGAAATTACACTGCCCTACAACGGAAAAACATATACGTATAAGTGACACGTTTTTCCGTTTTGTAGGGCAGTATAAATGAAAATTCCACTTAGTTAAAATATGCAATATTTGCTCTTGAAATAATGCGAAAATAGTGTGTGACACAGCCTTGAGAATAGTATCTCAAACAATGAGTTTATTTTGCTGCTGGATGAATTTTAAACTTGACAGTCGCACTAATGTATCTGTGGATCATTGCCAAATGTGAGTACGTTTTGTACATCTTTCTTTGGCGCCACAAACTCTTTTTATTTTTAGTTATCTTGCAAAAGTATGTACATATATACTTTATATCAGCTGACATCTTTAATTGCAACAATATTGATATATTCTAATTATTATATTTTAGATCGTGAAATTGTATATAACCTATATATATTAAATATTTAAAAAAATATATATTCCAATTAACGCTGAAATATGACAAAAAAAAAATGTTCATATAAAAGCAATTAATTCTGACTGATTACTGCGATAAAAAAGGAGAATTAAACCGAGGATCGTTTTCAAATCTTCCAATAGAATTTTTATAGACTGAAATAAAGTCGTCGTCGTCGCGAGTAAAAGAGCGAGAGACTTACTGATTTCGAGCCGATCATAAATTAAGATTCAAAGAGATAGTCTCGTTTGGAAATCATTATGATCCAAGTTGGATGCTGTGAGGTAATCGTCAACGTCTATGCGGGGCGTTATATGAGAGAATCGATGGATCGATTTGGTGATTCTAAATTTTATATATATATATATATATATATTTATAATACTTTATTTCCTTTCCTTGTCTTTTTTTTCGTATCTTAAACTTCCCACTCTTTTTCTCCTGGGAACCGTGAGAAAGCGGATCGATTCTCCCATGTTTTTTTTTTTTTTTTTCAAAGCGAAGACTCCGCAGGATATAGGTATATTTGCCAACGTGGAGCGAAGTACGCATGGCTATTAATTCCGAGTCCGGAGGACACCGGTCAGCGGCAAAGAAGCAAAATGACCGGCGGGTCAGGTCCTAAATAAAAGGAAGGAACGTTTAAATAAAAGTAAACTCTTGTCGCTGCTCCGCGAAGCGATCTCGTTGCCTTTTCTTTTGCCTCATCTTATTCTCAGCTGAACTCCAACCCGCGCTAAAAAACACTTCTTATTCGTAATAAAAAAAAAATCTCCGACTGTATTTTTTTAATCAGCTTATTCAAAAATTAATGACTTCAAACTATCTCTCTAAATCTAATTCAGTCACTTTTGACTAATTCAACAGCGCCAATTCGTTAATTCAATGAATTGCCAATCGTTTATTTGACTAATTTTTAGTTTAAATTGACAAATTGTTAGTAGAAAACTACTAATTTATTAGGTTGGACTATACTATTTTAATTAGTAAACTTTTATAAGTGACTTAGTAGTTTTCTACTATCAGTAATTTTCTACTATGAATTATAGTTATTTTCTACTATCAATTAGT